CGTACTTAATACTAAATTTGATTGTTTTTCTTTGCTAATTAAATACATGAGGGTAAATAAATCTTTTTATTCTCTCTTAACTAATTTTTTAACAAAAATCATTATCAGAAACATTTTGTACTAATTAATGAAATATTCAAGTATACAATAAAAAAATTTAGGACATAAGTGCGACAATGACTAAATGTTATGAACATTTCATGCAATTAAAATGTGGTGCAATTATAAGAAGATATGATGTGAATATAACTCTATTCTATATCACATTATAAGATTGTAGAATATTGAATTTGGACGAACTAGGAAATAAAATAACTAAAGAAAGATGAGTGGATGTTGGTTGTGATCTGTACCTCTAAACTAATATGAATGAGTTAAACGACGGTATCTCTCATTTTTAAATTATCATGTCTAGTCTTCAATATACATAGTAACTATGTCAAAGAAAAACTCCAAAGATATCAATAACCTAGTTTGATAGACAGAGAAAAGTGTGTCTCTGCCAATAAAAATGATTAACAATTTTAACTTTTAATTGTTTTATATAAAAAGCAATGGCAAACCTAATTGTGGAGATATGGTATGTGAACGAACGAATTTTTTGAGATTTCGAGTGGGAGGCTAGCGACTAGCTAGAGGAAAAACTTCGAAAATTTCTCCCTGGTCCATATCTTGATCTTTTCAAGTCTAACACAAATCTCAAACTCCCAAATTGAATTTCGACTAAAAATGCCAAATAGACTTCGAATAAGATTCCCAAATAGCATTACAAATAGAATTCGAGTCACACCGTAATTTTTACGAACTCCACATTGACACAAATTCCACTACAATGAACAAAATTTCAAAGATTCTCTACCTGGACACAAATTCTACTACAAGTAATAAGAGTTAACCCTTCAACAAAAACACCAAAGAAAATTCTCCATGATATTTCCAAATAGAAAAATTGTCCACCTCTACCACAAAAATTAGAACAAACTCAACAACTGAGTATCAACTAAATTCCAAGCATTAATCAACACGATTACCTCGGACACCAAAGTTGCTCGAACTATTCTCACGGGCAATGGAAAATCACAAATAATTTAATAATCACCAAATAGGGCAAAACTAAGCCCTATAACATAATCAACACAACTTACTATTTCACTCTAAGGTTCTTGGCTAGATTCAATACCTTCGACCACATTCAAAGTAAAAGAAACTAAACCAGCATCCTCGTACCTATATGGATACCTAATATTATTTTGCAGTCTGTCTCTAGTAATTGAATACGATGACACCGCTGGTAATGTTGGCAAAGTATAATTATCCACAACTTCTAAATTTGTCTGAAATGTATTCTTCAATGTAAACCCCAAACGAAGCTCTGACAGTGC